CATTTATTTTCCAATAAATAATTTCATTGTTTTCAAAAACAAAACAAAATGCGTAGATTTTAATGTATAAAAACAGACTATACATTACATTAGTAAAAAATGTAATCGGGGTTGACCGCACAATATAGCATATTGATGGCCTTTGCATAATTCTCAATCTTCTTGATGTCCTCGGCATCAAACTCATCTTCGGTCTTGGGGATCAACTTGTCGTCAACTATCTTCATCGGGATTTCCTCTCCGTTTTTTATGACCAACCATAATTGGAAGTTGGTGGAACGGATATAGATTCTCATCCGTTCCTTCCAATAGGAATAGTTGGTGCCATCAAAGAGTGGTGGCCTAGAAGTTGATTGACCTTCTCCAATTCCTGCATAGAGATTTCTAGAAGAAGAACCCATGATCGCTTTACTCTCAAACGGTTAAGTTTGGACGCGAGTTAGGCTCTGATACCAATTGTTAGAATAATAGACCAACGCTAGAGGGGGGTGAATAGCGTTTGATCAAAAAAATCGCAGGAATACAAAGTGAGAAAACGAGAAGTAAAGAGAAGAGTAAGAGGCACACCGATTTTACCCTGGTTCACCACAACTTGTGGCTAATCCAGCCTCCCGAGAGACTCTCTCGAGCTACACTACTATCTCGTTAAGCTTAACGGTGCTTAACAAACCCGTACAACTTGAGAGTTCGAGTCACACGAACCTCAACGAACCTTCGAAGGAGACAGCCCTTCCTTCGAACAACAAGTGAAATACTTTCTCTTGTCAAGTGTCTAAGAACACTAAAAACACTCAAGAACAATACTCTCTTTTAGAGTGGATAATGAGTAACTAAGAACGCTCAAAAACGCAACAAAAGCTTCACAAAAATGGCTCTCAAAAAGCTATAAATAAAGAATGAATGATTTGCAATGAAGGAGTAGGAGTTGTGAAGTAATGTGATGTGTAAAACAGACCCAAACACCCCATTTTATAGTGGAAAAATAGGCTCCAGCGGACCAAAACATTTAAGGGGTGATTGGCACAATTTGTGGGATTTGATTAAATTTGGATTTGCTGAAATTCACCCAGACAGCGATGTCCAAGGCTTGGACATCGTTGTTCTAGGCTTGGATTTTGAATATTGGGAAGCAACGGTCATGCCACCAGCGATGTCTAATACCCCTACATCGCTGTTTTGGCTGTTGACTTCCAAACAAGGAATGTTTTAGCCTTAAATTCCTTCCAACGGTCAGGTCCCTACATCGATGGTCATTACTTGAACATCGCTGTTCAGGTCTGACTTTTGAAGATGGAAGTTTGGTCTGACAGCGCTGTTGCTGGGTCAACATCGCTGTCCAAAAACTTTCTGCCAATGCACTATATTTTTGGCTTAGGTTGGACATCGCTGTAGGGAAGCCTACATCGCTGTTCCAGAAGTTTCTGGAAATCCAACCTTGGCTCAACAGTGATGTCTGAAGTCCAACATCGCTGTTGGAAGACTTAACGCCAAACCATGGTTTTCAGCTACCCAAGCTAGACAGCGCTGTTGGTTACACCAACATCGCTGTTGGGCTGGTTTAGCCAGACCCATGGTTGGTTTAGTCAGCCGTTAGCTGATGTCAAAAATGTAAGTTCTCCAAAATAAAAACCAAGTATTGAAAATGTTTGTTTAATGCATTTTTCTAAGAAATCAAGTAAAACATTTTAAAAACCACATCATTTAGTTGAAAACCACGGCTAGCCAAGTTTACGCCGTTTCGCATGGTTTTCACTAAACGACCAAAAACGAAAGGTGGTTTTTGAAGCGTTTTTGTTGGAGAAGTATTTAAATATGCCCAAGAGTAAAAACCTATCATTAAAAGTTGAAAATCACTTGGTTGGTTCGAACGCCAAAAACCAACACCGATAACCGAAAGCCGAACGTCGGTTTCCGAAGACCAAACGCCGGATGGCTTGGTTTTTGGTTTGGGCGAACTCCAAGTGTTTTTAGGCAGGTTTAAGACTTAAGAAAACCATTTTGAAAATGCAAAAAGTATTTTGATGAAATGAGCCTAGAGAGCCAAGTTTTGTAAGTTTGTGCCGGTCTTGATCACATGAAGACTGACTCAATACGATTCTAAGTCTTCGTTCTTGATTCTTGGTTCTTGGTTCTCAAATCATCATGCCATGTTCCTTTGCCTTTGATTTGCTCAGTTTAGTGTTTGTTGTCACGGCGGTTTGACATTATCAAAACCTGTCATAAAACGAACACGGTTTAGTAAACCGTAGGCGTAAACCCGTGTTCCAACAATCATATCAAAGTCTAAAATGTGTGTTGTTAAGACGCAAGTCATAAATTACAATTTCGTCGACGACTCTATTGTCGGAGGGACCAACACGAAATCACGTGATATTGCATTTCCATCATGCTTTAAGATCATATTATGCAATATGATACATGTGCACATCAAATTCTGTATTTTCTCACACTTCATTGCCCATTGTGGTCGATTCCTTACACCCCATCTATCTTTTAAAATACCAAAATTGTTTGACATCTTTTCTCGCTGGAAGAGATTTTCTTTTTTGTTCGACGGGACCATGGAAAAGATCTCACAAAACAACCCAAGTTGGATAAATCTCATCAGGAATATAGTGGCCACGTTTGTATTGGCGGTTGTTGACTTGGAAAGGACACCTTGTGGCGGTTCTATGTATTTCATTGTTGAACAATTGAGATTGGTTGAGAACAATGATTGATGTCGTTATTTGATCCCGTCGGACTATAGTACGCATGCCAAAACTTTTAAAAAACAAAGACTTATTTGATTAGTAAAAAATGCTTATTTTGCTCATATGTAGATTTATGATGGATCTTAGGTCCACCATAGAATTTGTCTATTTCCTTCGTCCTAGAGTATTTGTCCAGTTTGACACTGACAAACTATAATCTTCAATTACTTTCAATTCATAATTTGTATTAATACAATGAAATAAATTTTTTGAAAATTCTAAACGAGTTAAATATAATAAAATTATTTTTAGGGTCCCTTGGTACACGGGATTGACGGAATTAAAGTTGAATTGAAAGTTGAAATTCCAAAGACTTGATTTGGATGGAATTGAATTCTCCAAATTACAAATTATTTTTGGCATTACTAATTTCAAATCCACATATTTTTGTATTAACAAACAACAGAGTTGGAGTTATTGTCTTTAATTCTAATTCCATAGTTTGAATTCCGTGTACCAAATAGAGCCTTATACTAATATATATTGTACTCCCTCCGTCCCACTCTCTTTGTCCACTTACCTTTTGTCACACCATCCAATGCACTTCTTTAATCCATTTTATCTTGTAATTTGTATATTAAAAAATTATAGAAATTATATATTAATAATCTATATGTTAAGACAAATCAAACAAGATCACACATGACTATATTTAGGCTTACACATTGAGAGAATTTGATGAGTCAAAGTGCTTAGATGAACAGTTCCAAAAGTCAAAAGTGGACAAAGAGAGTGGGACGGAGGTAGTACTTCTTAGTGTATGTTTGGGAATAACCGTAGAGATTAGAGTTACCGTTTTGGATAAAATTTCAACGGTGCATGTTACTTTGAAAATGCTAACGCTAAACGCTGCACGGAGATAGACTTTAATATAATCAAATAAGATGACCAATTATATTCAATATATTTAGGCTCTGTTCCGTTCAACTTATTTTTTCTAATCTGATCTGATTTTTATAGGTTCTGATCTGATCTGATTGGATCTGATCTGGTCTGATCTAATTGGATCTGATTTGATCTGGTCTGATATGATTAATTATGATTTGATTTAAAATTTAAATTAATAATTTGATTTGACTTTATAAAATATTTGAAAATTGTAATGATAATTCATATTATAATATAATCAATGTTTTTATTTTATGATTATTTTTAATAAAATAAAATTAGTTTATAATGTAATAATGTACTCCCTCTGTCCCCCATAGATCTTCCGAATAACCCTTTTTCTTTGTCCACAATAGATCTTCTCATTTAATTTTTTAACAATTAAAATACCACAACTACCCCCACTTACTTTATTTATTACACCCCACCCACCTCATTTAATACACTCCACCCTTTTTCATTAAGGGTATTATGGTAAACTTTCACCTTTTTTCAACTCTCCTTAAAAACCACCAAAAGTCAAAATGAGAACATCTTAGGGGGACGGAGGGAGTAATAATCATTCATATTATATATGTAATAATGTAATATATTAGAATAATCATTCATATTATAATGTAATAATATTTATTATCTTATGATTAGTTTTTTGTGAAATTAGAATATTAATTTAATATTTTAATAATTACTTCATATATACATTAGAATAAATATTTAATTTAAATATACATTAAAAAATAATTACATTTAGATAATCAATATATAGAAGAGATCGTATTTTTATTAAAATATCTCCTCTTTATAAAAGATCAAAACTTTAAAAACTCAAATTACAAGTAGCAATAAAAATATATTTTAAAAGTAGAATTAGATTGACATGTCAATATATTATAAAAATAAGTTTTCTGACGTCTAATAATTAATGATTACTTTCTCTGTTTTCTATTTAACTTGTTTCTAAATTTTATTTTTTTTTCAATTTTAAGAATAATAATGATCATAATAATGATGATGATTATAATAATAATAATAATAATAATAATAATAATAATAATAATAATAATAATAATAATAATAATAATAATAATTCTTCATGGGATTTGATTAGATCTGATCTAGTCTAATCTAATTGGATCTGATCTGATTTGATGGGATCGGATCTGATCTGATTTGATCTGATCTGATCTGATTCGATCTGATCTGGTCTAATCTGATCTGATTTTAATAAGAATAAGAAAAAAATAAAAAAAAATAAGTTGAACGAAACTGGACGGGTTGTTCATTATTTACAAAATTTGCCACCCCTACTCTCTTTATATCCATCGTCGAACTGGCACAGAGGAAAGTGATCCGCCTGAGGAGAACCAGTGCAAGTCGGAGAAGGAGCACTGGTAGGTTTTTCCGGTCTTTCTGCATTTTGATTTGGCAGATTTTTTCTTCTACAAAGGAGTAGTATTGAAGTGATTTGGGTTTATGACCCGCCATAGCGAAACAACATTCACAATTACATGCCTCATGACTTCCCACACACGTTTTTGGGAAGACGAAGAATTGAATTCAAATTGATTCATATGCTTCAGGACCTGGAGCTGAGATCCGTTAAAACGGAAACGGAGTAATTGAATTGATTTCATATGATTTGAGCTCGGATTTGTTACAGCAACCAAATCAGGCCCGGAAGCCGGGAACTATACAGTTTATCTGCAGATCAGATTATCGATGCAGCTTCATAGCTCCCTTTCATCTCCATCGCTGCCATCTTCGTTTTCCGCCACTCAGTAGTTTTTTTACAGAGCACCCTTAAAAAGCAATAAAGGAATTTGCATCGGTTTAGAAACGGGAAAGGGGAACGGCTGTTGGAGTTTATGAGCTGAGATATCACATTATGGATAACAAAAAAGTAGTTGTATGCGACAATGGCACTGGGGTAATCATCTTATACTTCTTTGATGCAGTGGTCTTTCTTTTTATTGCTTCAATTCTTCTATTTGGTTTCAATGACCTTAAATGGCTTGAATAAGAACTGGTTGCATACATTACCTTGTTTGATCAATTAGCTTATTATCTGCGCTTTGGTTGAAATCCGATACCTGAAATAATTTGTAGCTTCACTGGATCACCAGAGTCCTCTCGAAAGGGGGAAATATCATATCCTTAAAACATATTCCCTCCATTCACATTTATGTGATCATTATGTTTTTTGTGATACATCAAAAGTTGAATGAATATGATTACAAATCATGTCTACATTCATTCAACTTTTGATGTATTTACAAAATCATAATAGTCGGTTATATGTGAATGGATGGAGTAATAGACTGTATGATTAACGTGTTGTATAATTCTCGCACATTGTTGTTGATTTATAATTTATAGGGTATTACGGAAACAAGTTTTCTAAATTTATAGGTAGGGATAATGTCCACGCACATCTATATCCTCCCAAGACCCCTCTTGACCTTTTTGGATTGTTTTTTAATGATTAGTAAGCATATGCTGGGTATGAAGAATCCCTTATGATTAGTTACTCTGAAGTCTGAATATCTTTATGTGAATGTAAATGCAGTATGTCAAGTGTGGCTTTGCGAATGAGAATTTCCCCACATCGGTTTTCCCTTGTGTGGTCGGACGGCCGATGCTACGATATGAAGAATCCCTTATGGAACAAGACATCAAGGTAACTATTATTTCTCATATTTGTAATCTTCGGCTCTTTAAAATTTTAAATGGTTGTATCCAACTTTTTCATTGCAAATTGTTAGTATATCCGCCTCCAAAAAACCGTTACTTTCACCACTGTACGACCTTTTTCCTAGTAATATACACCTTTACTCGAGGTTACACTCACAAACAGGACATCTTTTAATCACCATCAGTGTTACTATAGTATAGTACCGTTCTTTCTCTACTAATGTAGGATACCATTGTTGGAGACGCCTGCTTAAAGTTGCGACACCAATTGGATATATCTTATCCTGTCAACAATGGCATTGTGCAAAACTGGGATGATATGGAACATGTCTGGGACCATGCATTTTTCAATGAACTGAAGGTAGTTATTCTTGATTTCAATGTAAATGAAAGTTTTTCGAACGAAATAACTCTGTGCTTCCAAAGTAGATGCTACCTAATGGTGTTTACTGTTAACTTATCGGGTTTTAGTATTCAATCTGTGTCTATTAGGTGGATCCATCAGAATGCAAAATCTTGCTCACAGATCCACCTCTCAATCCATCGAAAAACCGTGAAAAGATGGTTTGTGTTATACTTTCTCATTTAGATTCAAGATGGAACCTTTCCTCAATGATGTATGACTCTCGCTCTGGAACCATTTGAATTACAGGTTGAAACCATGTTTGAGAAATACAACTTTGCTGGTCTCTTCATTCAGATTCAAGCTGTTCTAACATTATATGCTCAAGGTGCTTAATTTAAATAATGAACGTCAGAAATATTGTTCTTCTTTGCGGGGGGAGGGGGGGGGGGGGGAAGCAACATCTCTACCTTCCTAGGTAGGGGTAAGTAAGGTCAGCGTACGCCCAACCCTCCCACCCCCTACGTGGGATTTACTGGGTTGGTTATTTTTGTATAAACGAGAGAGTTTGATATTTACCCATAAGCTAGCCCTTTTTATGGTATCTATCAGCTCAGTATACTCTGCTTGTAAAGTTCTCAACCGTATGATTGATTAGCGTTCTGTGTTATCACCGGAACAGGTTTGTTAACAGGACTAGTCATAGATTCGGGTGATGGTGTTACTCATGTGGTAAATTATTCTATCATGTCTGACATTTTATATTTGGTTTGTCTTTAAGAACATTTCTTAATGTGATTAATGTTTACTGGCAAATAATGCTAGTTTAGCTTTCTTGTATGGACATTGTTACTGCAGGTTCCAGTAGTTGATGGTTATTCATTTCCTCATCTTACAAAAAGAATGAATATAGCTGGACGTCATGTAACTTCTTATCTAGTTGATTTGCTACTCCGAAGAGGGTAAACGAATCGATATATTTGTTTTCTGGATGGCTCTTCTAAGTCATAATGTCACAAATCTTATCGTTGAAGGTATGCAATGAATAGAAGTGCCGATTTTGAGACTGTCAGAGATATTAAAGAAAAGCTCTGCTACATCAGGTGAACTGACTAATGCCATAACAAATTAATCATATTTTCCATTCCTCCTCATTTTAATCAAACAATTAAAATTATTTTACTGCAGTTATGATTATAAACGAGAATATCAACTGGGTCTTGAGACAACAATCCTTGTTAAGAATTACACTGTGAGTAGATTTATTTTGAACATTAAGTCATGCATTGGAAAGCCTTCTTTATTCACTAGTCACTACAACCGGCTTGCTGCAAATAGTAATGAAACCTTAAATTTTGGCAGCAATTTTGTATATTACTAGCAATTTGTATTTTTCCTTTCTGCTTATAAGCATTGTGTTTGTTTCCAGTATCAGTCAGTTATGTTTTTGTTTACCTGTGGTGTAATCATTTTAACTATGCTTGCTCGAGAGATTTTACTTGTTTGTAAAAATATTTATTATTTATTAATTATTTAATGAACAGCTTCCAGATGGGAGGGTAATCAAAGTGGGCGCTGAGAGGTTTCAAGCACCTGAAGCTCTTTTCTCTCCAGTAAGCGCTTATACTTTTGTGGGATTTTACTGGGTTCTTGTTGTTGTTGTTGTTGGCAAAAATGACCTTGGTTCTATGTCAAGAGTGTCTACCAATTACATGTGAAACAGTTCAAAAAGTGTTTTTTTTTGTTTCATGGATCAAAAGTTAAATACCGCCTGTCCCATGGAATTTTTTTTAGCACGTCAGCCTCATAATATGGAATTTAAGAAAACTACTATTTCTTGCAGGAACTCATTGACGTTGAAGGTGATGGAATGGCTGACATGGTATTTCGTTGCATCCAGGAAATGGATATTGACAATAGGATGATGGTATACAACTCGAAATTTATTCTAGAGTTCATATATATGAATTGGCTTATTGTTTCCATTTTACATGTTTTCCCTTCTAAAATCTGATGTCTTTTATTGCAGCTTTACCAACATATAGTTCTAAGTGGAGGGAGTACAATGTATCCTGGCTTGCCTAGTCGGTAATGCAAGGAATCACATGTTTATTTTCTGTTTTTCTAAGCTTTTGAGGGTCTGAACTTTAATCAACCTGATTGTCACAANCCCCCCCCCCCCCCCCCTCTCTTTTTAAATCAAAGGCTGGAGAAAGAGATTTTGGATCGTTATCTTGAGGTCGTTTTGAAAGGAAACAAGGATGGATTAAAGGTATTAGCTATTTAGTGATCTATATACAAAAGTATTTTTCTGTTGTTCCTTACTAGAACCAGGGTTATCATGTAAGGGATTGTTTTTATTCAAATATAGAAACTACGGCTAAGGGTAGAAGATCCTCCAAGAAGAAAGCATATGGTCTATCTTGGAGGTGCAGTTCTTGCAGGAATAATGAAGGTAACTGCAATTCCTACAATAAGTGAATTTACTGTGGTTTTCTTGGTACTCTGACAGAAACTGCACTAATGGGGTGAATTATACTTGGAGTATAACTCCACACGAAAAATTAATTGATTCAGACATGTTCCATGATTTATAAGTTGATTGCGCAATATCAGTTTTGTAAAGGAACATGCAATAGCAAATATCTCAACTCATCGTCTTCCCATGATAGTTTTCATGCATGGAAATAGGCTATGATGATGATGATTTTGGATTTTTCATGTCATTATTTCTTCTTAAGAAGGTTTTAAGTTTTAACAGAAATGGTTTCTTATTAAGAAGGTTGACAGAAAGGGCATCTTTAGTGTTTAATAATTATGGAGTAGTATAGTTAATTGGCACCACAAATTCAAGGACACTGATCCCAACTAGTTGTGATGACGGAAAATTAATTGATTCATGCAAAACTTTTGTACAAAAAAAAGTTTATTAAAGAAGCTGACCAAATCTGAGTGAAATGGAGCCACCCCCACCCCCTAAAGAAACCGTGAAGGCGTGAACTAGACTTTTTTTTACATGTACTAGACTATTTGTAACGAAAAGTTTTTAGTTTGAAAGACAATGCTCTGAGAAAACAAAACTGAAAGGGGGTTAATTTGGCTTCTGTGCAGGATGCACCTGAGTTTTGGATCAGTAGACAAGACTATTTGGAGGAAGGAGCTGCTTGCTTAAGCAAGTGTGGTCAAGCATGAATAGTCTTGTAATGTGTTCCACAATTCACTGTCTAGAATGTTAATCTTATTGTTGTTTGTGGTTAAGTGACAGCGTGGTTCACTTAGTGAAGCACTTGTTAATCATTATAGCATAAGAGACAAGAAAAACATGTTTTGCAAATGTATTATTATTTTGATCTTATCGCCACTCCAATATGTTTGTGTTAATCGATTGCCCTTTGCAATCGATTGTTGTATTTCTTTGTCGGTTCATTCATTTTTGGTACTTTTTTCTTTCCCTTGAATGCACAAAAATATATTGATGTGCACTCTAACCTGAGGTCTATCCCGGTTTTCAAACCTGCAGTAGAGTAACTGGCCTCCAATGCTCCGAGTGAATTTCCAAATTTCAAAGTTTTGAAACCATAAGCAAAGTGAAGAACCTAATGGTTTGTAGTCCCAGAACTACTGGCTCAGGTTTGGTTCATGACCAAATTTGGAACCAACAAACCGTAGAGAGAGAGAGAGAGAGCAAGATACACACTTAACACCCAAGCTATGAGCACATGGCAATAATGCATTGTGTATTACTACAAATATGTATGAAAATGTGTGTTTGCAGGTAGCTAGGATGCACACACAGATGAGAATATTCTCTTCTTCTTCAAGCTTACATGATAAACCAGACATACTAAGGCATACATATGACTTTTTGAGGGGGTGGGGGTTTGTATTGACTAATGCTTAATGATTAGTGGAACCACAGAGAGCATCATTTCTGGTGGAGGGTCTGAAAGTCAAAGCACTGAGGCTGTAGATGCAGGTATTAGCAGTGATGGATTTGACTGTGACTTCCTCCGTCGTGGTAGTTGAGGCAGGAAGAGTGCAGGCTGAGGCGGAGGCTTGGCTCTTTGGCTGCGGCTGCGTTAGGAGGCTGGCCCTGCAGAAGTTTCCCATTTCTTTCTCCCTGGCACACTCAATTCCATCCACTGAAGGTATCTCCAGCCTGTAAATCCCAAACCTGTTTGTTGTTCTGTTCACTGAAAACTCTATCTGCTCTGCTGTCTTTGGTGACCTTGCTTTGAAGGTGCAGTCTATTTTCACTTCCACACCTGTTGTTATTATTAGCATTTTCTTTAAATAATAATAATAAAAAAATATCATTGCAATGAGGTTTCCATTTCAGATGTATGTCTTCAGGTGCAGTTTGGAAAATGGCAAAGATGGAAAGTAGAGTTGGATGTAAAGAAGAAAAACAGACATGTTTCTTCCTGTATTATGCATGTAAGCAGGTATCAAAGCTAGTAAATCATCCCCATGATTTGTTCTGGGATCCAAACACACCATTGTTGACAAAAGAAAATCACAGAAAGTAAATGCAGGAACTCACCTGGCATGAAGTAGCTGTGTGTGGAGAAGGAATTGTTGGAGCAGATATCACAGTAAACCATGCCCATGACAGTGATCTGGGGATCAGTCCCATGGCCTTGGAGAGGCATGGGAGATGATATCACAGCAAACATCAAGAAGAAAAACAAGTTGCAGCAGACAAAGAAGAAGAAGAAAGCAGAAGCCATTATTGGCCAGATGAAGAGAGCAGAACTCCAAGAAAAGGAAGTGTGTGAGCTGAGAGAGGAAGGAAATAAGTGTACAGGTAAAGAGGGGGAAACAGAGAAGCAAAACTATTCTAACTCTCTCTCTCTCTCTCTCTATGTGTGTGTACAAACAGACAAACTAAGAGATGCATGTGAACTTTGTTTGGCAGGTTGTGGACTGGATGTTTGTTAAGCTGGACAAGAAGAAGGGTGAGCTAGGGAGACTGATTCCCTTTTCTTCTCTTTCTCTTCTTTTTTTTCTCTTGCATCTCTACTAACATCAGCCTCCTATATAAATACAGGAAAGATTGGCCAAATGTTATAACTCCCATCACATGTCTCAATATTCCACCTACCTTTCAAATTCTTTAACTTTATTATTATTAGTATTATAATTATCATTATTATTACCACTTATCAATATTCTTAATATTACTGTTATGGAGTAATAACTGTAAAAATAATACTTATTATTAATCTTGCTATTACTAAGGCCATTGATTAGGCACATTTTAGAACAGTTTTTACTCTTGGTTTTTGGTTGTAAATATTTGAATCATTTGCACCTCTACTTTTTTTGTGAAAGTGCAGACACTTAGTGTCTGTGATCACAGACACTAAATGTCTATGTTTATCTGATGTACAAATGAGGTACCTCATTTTGGTGTTTACCCTAAATTTATTCTTTCTAGTTACATACATATGCTTGCTTGGAGAGTCATGTTCTGTGGATGGGAAGAAGTCACTGCACGCTTTTACCGGTAACATTTATTATTAGGGCATGTTTGGTGGGAGCATTTTAATGACCAATATCCTCTTCTTTTTTTTAAAATAACATTTGAAGCGTTAAGTAAATTCGTGTCTTGCAGTAGAATATGCTGGAAAATTGGCAAGTAAAAATTTTTGAAAGGAGAAACATTTTTAAAAGCAGCTTTTGGTATTATCATTATGCTGGGTAAACTTATATACAACATTCTTTTTAAAATAATAAAAATAGCTATGTTCATAAAAATAATGAAATGCATATGGGTATAAAATATAGAAAAGAAATAAGGTTCTATACAAAATCAATGGTCATTCAATGGATTAACAATAAAAGTTGTTTTAATTAATCAAAAATTAAAATAAGAGATATTAGTATTTACAAATCAAAATTTATTTTTTTAAATAGATAATAAAATTAAATAAATGATGTATAGTTTTAAATATTTATGTATAATGTTTTTTTAACTTGATAATGCTCATACAACTTTTTTAAAATAATAACATAATAATGCATCTGGATGAGTTTAGTTGAAAGATGTATTTAGTGTTTTAGCGGGTGTGGTTATCACCACTCAGGAGCTCTACTTTGTACGGCGTCTGTCCCAAAATGACTTACCCAGAAGCCCAAACGAAATAGAATTGCAATTTTTTTCAAATTTTTTAAATAAAAAAATGGTATATTTGTGGAGTAAGTATATATGGTACAACCGGCTGTACCTAAAGATAGGTACATCCGGGTAGTACTCAATTTTGAAGTTAAGTGGTACTCATTCTCGCACAAACATAACACTTCATTTGAAATATTGTAGTACTCATTCTGAAATAACACAGTACTCATTCTGAAATAACATAGTACTCATTTTCGCACATTTGTACAATATTAATTTATGAATGACGTAATACTCATTCTAAAATCTAGTAATACTCATTCCTAAATAGCCTAGTACTCATTCTTAAATAACGTACCATTCATGAAAATCTAAAATCTTGTTGAAGACCATATTGGAATTAGAACAGATTTGGAACTAGAGCTTCGCCTACATGAACTGTAATCGCGGAATAGCGGATTGGAAGAGTCTTATTCATCGCCGATCGATTTCACCCAAACCTGCCGCCTTCATCGCCGATCGGTTTCGCCCTAACCTGCCGCCGCAGATCTTCCTTCTTCATCGCCGCAGATCCAGTTCACCTTCTTCATTGCCGACCTTCCTTTAGCCCAAATTAAACGCCGGCTGTACGGTTCTTCCCGTACAACCGGTTGTACGATATAAATTGCGATATTTGTGTGTTAGATTATGTTATGTGTGGCATAAATGTGACTGAGCGGTGCACTTATTGTTGTTTTCACGGACTGGTTTAAATCAATAATTAATCAGCCCCTCTTCACGAGACTTTGAATGTCTGGTTATTGTCCACTTTTAATGGGGCCATTACCTCAAATGCCTCCTCAAACACACTTACTCACTTGCACACCACTACTCGCACTAAGAGCACTGGAAATGGTCATGAAGCCCCGGGGCTTCAAACTCTCTCCCTCTCTGCCACGTCAGCTTTAACTTACACCAAAAATTCACTGGAAATGGTTTTGAAGCCCCGGGGCTTCAAACTGGGGCTTCAAACCTTTTTTTTTTACATTTTTAAATATACATCTCCTAAATTTAAATTAATTTATTATTTAATTATATTGAAACACAAATACAAAAAAATAAATTCATTAAATTTAAAGAAATTGAAACGACCATAATTTAAAATTTAAAAAATTACATTCATTAAAATAAAAAAAACGAAAATAATAAAAAAGATACATTAATAAAAAAACTAAGGTAAATTATATTTCGCCTTGATCTCTCTTTATCTTTGCTCGTAGATCATCCGTTTGAAACCCGACAACGTAGAAAGGTCGGTTTCCATGATTTTGAATAAAAAAATTACATTCATTAAATAAAAAAATTAAATTCATTATTAAAAAAACTACATTAATTAAATAAAAACATTACATTCATTAAATAAAAAAATTACATTCATGAAAAAATAAATAAAACACTTGAATAATAATTTTTTAAAAAAAAGATGATAGAGAGAAATTTGTATTTGTGTTGAATTTTTTTAAAAAAATTAAATTTAATTTATAGAGAAGAAAAGAGGAAAAAAGAGGGAGAAAAAGGGAAGAAGAAGGCGTGACAATGCCTTCAAAGTGCGTCAAAACTTTGACGCAAGAAGTTTAACGCCCTTTTAACGGGGGAGGGGGGCGGTGTTTAACGCCCCCCAGGCTTCAAAATGGCCATAACGCCGAGGAGCGTTAAGGGTAGTACCAGTGCCCTAAGCCACTAACATCATTCGGTGTGGATCACGCCCATCACGTCATTCCACATAGCGGCGTAAGGCATTTGCGTCAATTGGTTGAAATATGTTTGGCTCGAGCAGGACTAGTACCGTTAACATTTCAAGAGACTACGCAAATATTAAAATTAGATTTTTATAGTTTATACTTCCTCCATCTCATAAAATTATTCTCATTTTAACTTTTAGAAAATTTAAGGGAGATATTTTATTTTGACTTTTCAAAAATATCTTTGATATGATGAATAAAAATATGATGTGATGGTTAGATTATTAATGAAAAAAGTATGATGTCCTCCCTCCGTCTTACAAAATATTTCTTGTTTTGAATTTTAAGGGATTTAAGAAGATTGTATTTTGATGTTGACTTTCTAAAAATATCTTTGGATGCAATAAATAAAAGTGATGTGATCGGTAATTTAAAAATTAAAAGGAGAAAAATGACTTTTTAATTAAAATGAGAAACATTTTTAGGAACGGATGAAAAAAGAAAAGAGAAAGATTTTTTGGGACGGAAGGAATATATAATATATTGGGTAAGTGATTATGATAAAAATAGTTTTTTAATAAAAAAAGGAAAGCCTTTATGGGACACCAAAATAAAGAAAGACAAGACTTTTTAGGACGGAGAGCATACATCATTTATAATACACTCTTTAGCTTTAGATTCTTAAAAAGATTTTTTAAGCGTATTTATATAACTCCATCTGTTCCAATTGAAATTGTTTGTTTCAATTTACAATGTTTGACTGAAAATAAAAGTTAAATGTTAAAAATAACCTCAAAAGATCTAGAAAATTACTTCAGAATACCTTTGAGTTTCTGGTAATGGTTCACATACTTTACATTATCTAAAATATACTCTGAGATATACTCAATTTTCTGGTAAGAAGGTCCGACATTATTTGAAATATATTACGAAAGTCATTAAGATTAGTGGTAATGTATTCCTTGGGTATATTCTGTCTATTTAACTATTAAGATTATAAGTTTTGATACTTTTACAAATACTATAATTTACCTTCATAATCAATATTTTATTAAATTTAAATAAAATTATTTAGTTTCTCAAAGTAAAAAAAACTTTTGATCCCAACAACTAAAAAACAAAATATCCCTCGATGTATAATATCACAAATTTTAAGAACTCCAAAAAATTGAGGGTGCCTAGGAATATATTTGAAATAATGTGGCACCTCGATGTTTTTACCAAAAAAAAATCGAGAATACTTCGGAGTAATTTTCTATCAAAAGATCTACAAAACTAGGAGTAACATGACTATCATTTTATTACATTAATAAGGAACATAAAGAAAGAAGTTAGATGAAATTTGACCATGTAAATAATAAACAAACAATTTAATTCAAAACGAAGGGAGTACATGGTTAGCTATGTAAGCTGTGTTCTGTTCGCATGATCTGATCTAATCTTATTTTTGAAGAATTTATCCCTCCGCCCTAATTATCTATCTTTTTTTTATAGTCAACCCATACCGATCTTTGATCTATAATTAAATAAATATAACATGTTATACGGAGTATTATTTAGATAAAAATAATATTTTGCAAATATTTTACAAGATATATCTAATAAAATTAATTGTAAATCAACGTCTAATGTAAATTTTTGTTTAATTAATGGTCAAAGTTCATCAAATTTAACCGGAAGAAGTCAAAACTGCAGAAATCTTTTGAGAGAGGTAGTATCACTTTCCCCCTTGTTTTAAAGCATTACTAGTTCTTTTCATTCAGTAAAAAATAAGCAATGCGGAGTACTCCGTATGTTTATAGCCATCTCAGGCAGAAAATTCAGATAGTTGAACTACAATTTAAACTTATAACCCTTACCAAACTGACTCCTCTTCTGTAGCAGCTATATGCATCTTCCTTTCATATGGTTAAGAAAGTCTAATCTCGGCACGCCACAATCATGATTTGTTTATGAAGATGTTTATAGGAGAGACAGAAACTACACAGTAGAATGACAGAATGTGTACACATCTATATATATATAACAATATATCTCCAACATATAACAATGAGGCATTATACTGTTTACAGATTATTTGTTTCTTTGAATACTTGTTGAGATTAAGAGAGCAGGCCCTGCTCCTTACAATCATCCCACATTGACCCACACACACACACACACACACACACAGATCTCATTCACATTACCGTTCTCACAATATGGAGCACGAACAGATCTTCTTCTTTGGATCATCGTCAATCTTCTTTTCTGTTGACACACACACACACAGTGAGAGTCACAATATTGAACAGGAAAACGAAGAGTAAATTTGTTTCACAATCATGCATCAATCGAAAAGACTTGCTCAAAGTGTAAATGGTGTAACAAGCTACGCGCAAAAATGACTACACTGTCGGAAGTGCTTGTGTTTGTGCATGAAAACCCCACACAGACTCGTTGTGTTTGCATAGATGGTGGTGGCTAAAAGTTGTGAGCGGCAGTGGTCTGTGCTTGAGTGAACGTTAGTGTTTGTGTATCTCTGTTTGTTAATATGTGTCTGTGTTGACAGAGGTGGTCAGAAGTTGTTGGCGACCATCAAAGGTTTGACAGCGGTGGTCGGAGGTTGGTATGGCGGCTGTGGTCAGAGGTCCATCAAGCATGGGTGGGAGAAAGAATGAAGAAAGCCCCTTTATTTATACAAACTAGAGTGACTAACTGCCTATAGCACTATTTAATTTTTGGTAGAGTACACAAATCAAAGGCAAAAGGCCATAGTTTAGCCCTCGCCTAAAGCCTTTGAAAACATAGGTAGGCATTAAAGATCAACTTACATCAAGATACACATCTTGAAAATTACTGAGTAAATACTTTTTCCTTTTCTTATTCTGAAATTTTTTTGAGGTTGTGTTATGTTTTGGTCATTGAAGAGAAATTCATCGCCAAAAGCCTTTAAACTTTGCATTCTAGTTTACTACTTACTATATGTAACATCTAATGTACACATGAATTACTAATATATAGTGATCAATGATAAGGGACCATTTCTAGGGAGCATACCCATCATCAGAAATGTCACATACATGGAAGCAGACACAAGTCACACAATCCGAACTATATACATAGTATGTAGAAGTCAAAGGAAGGAATGAGATGAATAAATAACGAAAAGACTGGTATGAATGTAACTGAATGCAAATACTAATGCCTGTATGAAAAAAAAGATGAGAGCAAAATAGCAAATGAATGCAAATACACATAATGCACTAAAGGCAAATTAGTGTTGAACGATATAAGAGGGGAAAGAGCATGGACTCCCAAAAATGTGGGACATTTTTTACGTGGCACAACCTTCATAAAGTGGAAACTGTGTGGTTGAAATTTATTTAGGGGAAGAAGAAACATTGTGAACCACAAAAAACTTTTCAAATATATGAACAAACACATCTTTTTGGGATAGAGATTAGAAAGAGTACATCTCAAGATTTTGCAAGCTGTATTTTATCTTTTATTCCCATCTCCAAGCAAGCACACTAAAATATGAGGGGTATTTAATTCAGGGATAGAGAGAGTAGTAAATTTATTGGCACCATGCATCATTTTGAGGAGACACCAAGTCACCACCATTTTAATGTTTAGTATAGCAACCACACCCGACTATAAATCCAACTCCATTGGGGTTTGGTGGGCCAAGATGTACTCAGTCTTAGCCATGAAAAAAGTAAAAATAGAGAGACCGTTAATGTTAGAAACTAGATGCAATGTTGCATTTTCTGCCCAAAACTTCATAGAAAGTAAGAAGTGAAGGAAGTTCAATGTGTCATTTTTTGTTGCACCATTGAGGATGTTCCATTCGCTAAATGCACAACAGCATCACATGAGAGCCACCAAGGAAGCTAGTCATCATCAAACCACGCATGACTATAATTTTTGAAAGGGTGAGGTTGACATTTGCTTTTATCCAATATTGAATTCGGATACCATGACAAACAAATGGCATGTGGAATTCCCATATCTAAACCGTTCGGTTTTATCCAATATTGAATTCGGATACAGAACTTGACGTGTGGTTAAAATCAATATCCATACTCGCTAGTGGATACAAATAATTTTCCCTTCGCCACATACAAATGAGGAAGATATTCAACATTTTGATTATCAATTGTTTCAGGCTCGACGAGGCAACTATATAAAGCAGGGAGATTGATTAGGGGTTCATTCAGGCTCACAAAACTGCTAGGTTAAAAAAAAGGAAAGAGAATGTAGAGAAAAAAATTAAAATGAAAGAAAATGCAAGGGAAAACAAAAAATGTTACCCTTCCACTTTGGACGCCTTTTTCTATTTAACAAAGTATACCAAACATTGAAGTTTCAAAACCGCAAGATTTTTCAAACATTTAACATCTTCCAAGACTTCCCAAATTTTTCCTTATCCCAGCCCCAGGGTCTTCGAGGCAACAATATTCCAAATGATGGAGAGAAGGTTCGCGTTCATCTCACATTCGTTCCGATTTGAACAAAATAGGTATGTTTGGTTTGGTTTTATTTGTCGACAATAATCACAGGCACCACCAGAACTTGTGGGTGAGTCAAAGAGGAGGAGACGTAATATGCCTTTAGCATAATTGAACCAGGTTGCAAGATGAGAGTCCTTTTTGTTTTTCTTTGTCATGATATATCAGTAATGGTTGTGGGATTTCATCAGTTACTAACAGAACCTAATGAACCGACGATGAATCATTTGTTGGATAGATGTTGGACATTGGAAGTTGAAACTAGGAATGAGTGTTGATGTTGTTACATACAAGAGTGTTTAAGGATACGAAACCCTGGTTCCACTATCCAAATATTCAAGTACGAAGATCAGCATAAGCAATTAAAATTTTCCAAACAAGGAAACAATCCCACGATTCCTAAAAACATGCAATTTTTTTTATAACCAATGTAGTCTTAAAACACTGCAGAGTATTTTATTCATAAAGAACTGAATAAAATAAATACATTCTCAAAAAGACATAAACCCAAATCAACAGTTTGAAATTAATTAATAACGAGAAACTATTAGGAAGTAGTTTTTTGGTATGCTTAAAACTACCTGACTTTGCTTTAGTTTGAGCTAGCTGTACAACAGCATGCATGGTAATTACATCATCAGCATCTGAAAAAGGCAGCTTACACTGACCAACAGTCTTGCTGTTCTCCAAAACTTTCCCAGAACTGATCAGTTTTAGTTCACTTGGTTCCTTGGGCACAATACTTTTACCTGAAGTTAAACAAAATACAAAAAAGTAAAATACACATTTGATTCTTCAAAACAGAGATGACATATATCCGGCTATGAATAAAAGATGAGAGACCACACGAGTGGAATCATCACTGCAGAACTTAACTAATTGAAGCAAAGAGGAAAAAGAAGAAAAACTAACCACAAAGAAATACTAGTATAACAATTTAACTAAGGTCAATAACTAGCTGCAAGTTGAAAGGTATCATGTAGTGATTGTGTGCAAGTTTCCAGTTGATCGTGTGATATTAAAGAGAAGATGAACAAACTAAAATCTCCAAAGCACTGAACTTAAGCTCAATGTTTTACTTGAAAAAGATGAAACATCAGACATTGCACACACGTTGAGCTTATGCTAATTATTTTACAGTAAAAGGGCACAAAATTCATATATTAATCAGATCAAATGCTCGTCCCCACGCGAGGAATAGAAATCTAGTGCAGAATAATCATCACGAGCGATTTCCAAGTGCACACTCGCTTTACTTTGTGACCAAAATGAGTGAGAAAAGATGAAGCCTTAGAATTCAGGTAGACTAAGCACCACAAACAACACAGAAACGAAGCACAAACCTTTAGGCCATCCTGCTATAACTTTTTCCTTGAGTGACTCCACAGTTAATTGATCCTCATAATCGGCTGGACCAATATCTGATCCATCATTCAACCGGAACTTGATCTTTATCATACTCTAGTCGTCCAATCGCAAATCAGAAACCGCCTCCTCCTCCTCCGCTTCGAGCACCTAGCGCATGCAATCAGCAGGCACAATCGCCGCACAACAGGTCAAAATCCAATCATTCAACAAAAAGCCAAAATCACCGGATTCAAGAGCAGGGAAAGTTGACAAAGAAAACAGACAATAATGGGGAGTCTAAAGCGCAATTATTTAAAAAAGAGTATTCCGAGGAATCCAAAAACAAAAAGCTGAGAAAAAAGAGAGAAAGAAAGTAGTACCAGTGGATTACAGGAAAAAGGCTTTGATATGATAGAGCAGCAGATTTGATGAATACGTGGAAGGAAGCTTTGATTAAAATAAATCGAAAAGAAATGAAACGAATCTAGTTTCAGTACTAGTGATCATAGTAGAGAAGAAGAAACCCTAGGGGATGATGATGGTGATGATGACGACGATGATGATGGGATTGAGATATAAGGATGGATATTCACTCTTTCTGCCCGCCTAACGCCTAAGCAAACATCCAAACGACGCTAGAAAGCACCCAACACTCTTCATTTTGATCAATAATGGTCCATTTGAGCATTTTTGGTCCCGCTTGTGTTTGTGTTTGGTTGGAGAAAAATTGTTTTTCCGAAGGAAATTAATTTTCAAAAGAAAAAAAAAATTCTACCAATATGTTTTTTTAAAAATATTTTTAATTGTTAAGCTTTAATAATTGATATTTAAAAATATGTTCTAATTTTAATTTTAAATTATTTTAATAGCAACGTGACGGTTGACATAAAATGGGGGTATTGGGGCATGTTAGTGGGAGAAGGGGCAGGGGCAGATTGCATGGGTTGGCGAGAGGCAGATGAGAGTGGGTGGGAGACATGGGGCAAAGGTGGACAAGTGGGATGTGTGTGGAAGAGGTAGCAGGATATAAGGGGGCGAGGGATAGAGGTGGCGCATTGAAGGAGGGTGGTAGGGTAGTAGGGGGCAAGCGTAGGGGTAGCGGGTGGTAGGGGTTGGCACAAGGGTGGGAGGTTTTGGGGCATGAGGGAGGCGGTGGTAGGCTGGGGGTAGCGGATAGTAAATATGAATAAAATTTGTAAAATATTTTCTACAAATCGAATACACTCCCAATCTCAAAATGATTCTTTCTACTCCGGTATAGCATAAGATCTAGAAAGCTAATAGTAACATGACTATATTGTTCTATTAAATGACTAACGAAAATAGAAAAAGAAAATGAATAAAGTTTAATCTGTGAATTGTGAACTAATAATTTGATTTGGGGTGGAGGAATTATATACGGAGTAGGAGTATATTTTAGTCAAAACCTTAACTAAAATTGGTTGGGCCGTGGAGGGATTTCAAAGAAGAAATAAAAATAAAAATTATTTTAAAATTGGTTGTTCAAATGGATTAATGGACCAATGTCATTCACTAATATTATTAGGATGACACTAGTCACGAGTGTTCTTTGAACCAGGTTACTTACTACTCGTATAATACAAATAATCCGTAACATAGTGAGTATAAACTTTGTTCTTAATATTTGCAACGAGAATATGACAAATAATTAAGTGACTTTTTTCTGAACTTTTGTACAATAACTTTTTTTTGCTAATAATTAGTAGCAAGTCTTTGACACTAACAATAATGGCAACCATTCTCCCACCAGAATACCAATAATTCTCAACTGATTCAATTAATCAATTATGCATATGAAATTCATATCACAGCCACAAGCCAGTAGTGCTAAATATATAGTATTAATTAAAAACAAGGGGTCAAAACAGGCTACAAATTCCAAGTTATGGATATTTACTTGTATACAACATAGGACTGTTAAAACTCAAGAATGTGCAAATTCACTTTATATCATCCCCCACAAACACAAAACACTACTACTGCTACTACTACTATCACTCACTGGCGGCTGCTGGCGGGCGCCATAGGCAAGGTTGATTGCGGCGGAGGGGCATAGAAACCGCCGTCAGATGGTTGATACATCTGAAAAACAACATTTCCCGGAGGAGCAGAAAAGGGCAACAGTCCGTTGATGGGGGGTGGGACCCCCTGCGGGAACATGTACCCCGCATTGTGTATGGGCCCCGGGTTCTCCAAAAAGGGCGGGTAGGAGGGTTGCATGGGGGGTAGAGGGGGCATGGGAGGCGGCGGGGATGATGGGGGAGGGGGTTGTTCGTTTGGGACGTATTCGGCTTCCAGTCTCGCCCTTTTCTCCGCGGGAGGAGCGTAAGCGTTGCGGTTGGAATCATTGGTCTGGGTGCCGATGACGCCCTCGGACGCAAGGGAGGAGAGGACGTAGGTCAGCATCTGGGCAGAGGATGTCGAGGCGGTCAGCTTGGCGGCGACCGCTGCGGCTGCAGACTTGGGGTCCTCTTCTTCCAGGTGGCGGGCGGGGTTTTCCACGTGGCGGGTGTACATGACCGGAGCTGTTCGGTCTCCACCACTCTCCAGTTTGAGACTGTGAACTGTTTGAGAGGCAGAGGCGGCAGCGGGTTGATCATCACTGCCCCCGCCGCCATGCTCGCCCAATATTCGGACGCCGTTGTCACCATTAAGCAACCGCTTGGACATACTGTTTGCCTGTTCTGAACGTAACTGAGCAGCCTACCAACAGAAACAAGACAAGTCATTATCGCTCTTTTGGTCTACACTTCCCAGTGTGAGGAAAAGGAAACAACCCTTTTTCCTTTCTTTCCAAATTCCTCAAACAAAAAACAATGTAATGCAAAACAAATGTGTTGAAATAGTGCTTGAAATGGCTGATATGTTTGAAACATTTAATAAGAAGAAATTTATAATTTTATGAATAAAAATTAAAGGATCTGATATCGTAAAAGGGTAAATTTGCGCAAGTTAAATGAGCAATTGATGGGTGAGAAATCTGTGTGATGAACCGAAATAGTATTTAAAATGGACACTGAATTTGCAGTATCCTACAGACTAATAAAAAATTGATATTATTGAGTACCTGTAGCTCACCGCGGATTGATTCTAGTTTATATTCCTGTTTCATTTTTTTAAAAACAAAGTCATCAATCAAAAGAGGAAGACATGAACAACGAAATGGATAAGATGAAACTGTATCGCCAGAAAACCAACCTGTTCCCTCAGAGCATCTCTAAGCTGTGAGACAAGGTTTGCTCTGGATGATTCCACTGTCATTAGCTGCTCAATACAGTCCCTCAAAATCTCATGCTGCCCCTTAAGCTCATGTGCAATTTTGGACCCAGTAAGGTGTCCTTACAATTTATTAAAGGAAAAAGTTAGGAGGCCATCATGGGTTAGACCATGGTGTACCTCATCCTAGTGAAATTACAAAGTATCTCTTTCCATGAATAAACATGCAAGTGCATGGCATTGCAGAATAATGAGTACTCCCTGTTCGGATTTTATAGTCCTCTTTCTAATATAACTTGTTTTTAAGAAGTGAGTTTAAAATGTCAAATAAGTTTGTCACCTATTCAAATCAATAATGCTCATATCGTATACAAGTATCTAGGATATTTAAGGCAATTCATTGGAATATCATTACTGAATATGAGTAGTGAACAAATAATTCCAGACAAATGAAAACAAGTGGAAAACTGAATATAGTCAGAGTATTTCAAAGAGATGGAGTACACCATGATAACATCACTCAAATAAAATGTCAAGAAAAGAGAACACACCTGAGTTTTGGTCGCATTCAATTTCCTTGTCGATTTTCTCAACTGAGTTTATAGCATGTCTGCATCTATTTAACAAAGCATCCTCATCTATATGCCCTCCATATAGCACCTGATAACTGGAAACTATTTTTTCCAGTCCATTTCCGACATGCCTCTGTCACGAGATTAGAAAGGGATTTATTACCCAAACAACAAACGGATTTGCCAAAAGATTTGCACAAACAATTATCGAGCCGCGAAATCGTTAAAAAAATTAGAATAATTGATATACCAGCTTGAACCCCGAGGGCTTCTCAATTCTACAGCTGTTTTCGCCATGCTTCCCTGCAAATTCTTCCTTTAGAATCTGTCCTCGAGAGCCAAATACTTTTCTTTCCTCCCAAATACTAATCTGAAGATCATAATATGTGAAAAACATAAGCACTGATAATCTGATATGTGAAAAACATAGTTATGTTACAGATACTCAAAGCATAGTTGTATTATTCAATGTAAATATTACAACAATATTGTTGGTTGTGTGCATCAATTGTCCCGTGGCGGAGGCTATGTGGGCCAGGTAAATGTGGGCGGGGCCAAGTCAGACTCAAATGTCTGGGCGCTTGTGTGCGATGAATGCACTATAAGGCTAAAGTAAGCGCTTTTTCTAACACCAAGTGGTTTTAGGAGAGTTGGTAGCGTCTAAGGTCCTAACACAAGGTCACGCGTTCGATTCCCAACTAGAACAATTGCTTAAGGGAAAGATTGTTGGCCATGTGTGTGCATCAATTGTCCTATGGCGGGGGCTATGTGGGCCAAGTCACACTCGAATGTCATGGGCGCTTGTGTGTGATGAATGCACTATAAGACTAAGGTATTTCCTAACACCAATTTGTTCTAAGAGAGTTGGTATCTCCTTAGGTCCTAACAAATACTACCTCTACCCCAAATTAATCTTCACACTTTCTTTTTTAGTTGTCCCAAAATAATTCTCACTTTTTACTTTCCTAATAATGTAACGAATATGTTGTCCACAACTCTTCTCTTACTTCTAAACAATTTCAACCACCTACTATTTATTCTTCAACATTCTTTTTAAACCCTGTGAAATCAAAGTGACATTTATTTGGGAGAGGAGTATATGACTGCAGATGTGCTTTGCTTATTGCAACATAGGTTACCACTTCCTTGGTCCCACTATTTTGACAATTTTTCTTTTCCATCTTGACTTGACTCAAAAATTTTGTTACACACAGAGTACCATTTTTGGTATGATTTTTGTGTGGCTCGGATCATCTCCACTTTTCATTTTTCATCATCAACCACAAAATTCTATTTTTTTCTAAACTTGTGTGTCACTCTACCATGTCCCAAAATTAGTGGGACGGAGAAGAATGATTTGCGGTAAGGGTAACACGTTAAAAAGATAAACAAAGATATTAATGGAAAAAAACATGAGATGTTCTAACCAAACCACATACAAGAAATAGCATCTTAACTCCTACATATTTCATGTCACTAGAAACACATTTGTTCCCTTACAACAGATTTCATATATTAATCATTAGATTAGATTCTTTGAATAACCCAGCGTGATTCCAAAACGGCAAGGACTAGGTTTGCCTAGAATCATAATTATCTCTTCATTTTTTCAGAGTATAGATAATGAGGCAAAATCAAGACAAGAATGGCAGGCCATATTTATCACCAACTCACAACACGTTGACAACACACACTTAAACTTTGGCCAGTTTCGCGCACATGTTTCTACCCAAATACTCCCTTTCTCCCATTTTTGAGTTCTCACTTTCTTTTTATGGATGTCACAAAACAAAGTTGTCATGTCAAGGAAAGAGTTGCACCGTTCATATTATTTCTCTCACAGATAAATTTCCACCAAGTAATTTCACTTTTCTTAAACTCCATCAAAAAGTAAATGACAACTCAAATATGGGTCAGATGGAATGTGTTTCTTCCATAGTTAACCCACAATGCACAGCAGGTATGAAACATTCTTTATGTTAAAAAAAATCAGGAATAAAATGAAAATACCTACCAACCGTAGTGCCGCATTCCTTCCAGATTCATCCCCGCTCTCAATTACTTTGCGCAATGCCCCTGGAAGAACCTTCCAAAACTCACCCACAAATTCTGAACCCTTGCGTCTGCTGTTTTGAAGAATATCATTTGCAAGATAGAGATAAGCTAAATGTTGCTCCCGTGCAGCACAATGAAATTGACGTTCCCATGTCTCAACAACTTGTCTTGCTTTATTCATGTGAAAAATACACCAATGTGATAGAGCTTGTTGGTGTCAAGGGCATTTTCATCAAAACACATCTCAATTGCAAAGAATATGCACAGACAGTAAGATAGACCAAGTAACCCACATAAAATCTTTACCAAAATTTCACAGTTCACACTAACAGTAAAGGTTCTGTTGAAGTGATTAGGAGACATGAGAGACTCAACATTAGAGTAAGATAATTCTAATGGGGAAAAATAGAAAAGTAAAAAAACAACTCGAGTTCCAGTGTTCCAAAGTTTCAATTTCAACGAAGACATCACAGACCCTACAGAAGGCAAATCAAAGAACATAAATGCTAATAAGATAAGATCAAGTCCAGATCGAGATAATAAGTATAAACTCTGAGTAGTACTATGGGCTGTATGGTCCGAAAAACAGTCGGCTATGAATGATTCTGACATAATACCTAGAAAAACAACACGATAAAGATTGCAGAAAACCTGAATGAAGAATGAATAACTTTCTGCTCGTAGCTCTTTTTATGGGTCTAGAGAGTAGGGACGCCTTACATTATTGACGGGCAGTCTAAAAGAATAATAAGCAGAAAATATGATGGCACGCTTTTTTTAGATTCAGAGTATTGAAGAGAAACGAAATTAAAAGCATGAGTGAGAAGAATGTAGTAGAAGAAACAGCTTAAACCCCTAATAAGCTTAATAAGACTTCACATTAACTTTCCCCTGCAATAAGGCATGATGGTTGAAATGTCAGTTGGATATAAGATTAAGATCAGTTGGTCCCAAGTGACAAGCCATTTAATTTCCTTGCTAACACTTCTAATATGAGCATAATAGCTTAAAACCCTAATAAGCTAAATAAGACTTCACATTAACTTTCCCCTGCAATAAGGCATGACGGTTGACATGTCGCTTGGGTATAAGATTAAGATCAGTTGTTCCCAAGTGACAAGCCATTTTATTTCCTTGCTAACACTTCTAAAATGAGTATAATAGCTAAGATGTTCTTATCTGGCCTAAGAACCACCGTGTATAGATCCCTATTTTTTTAACCAAGCTTTACCTAATAAAACTTAACAAATAGGTAACTACATCTAAGTAATGGTGATAGATGTCAAGAATGATACCTAACTGAGGCTTAAAATGATCTTGGAAAAACCCTACAAAAGTTAAAACAACTCCCTCTAACCTTTTAACACTTGGCATTAGCTCTTTTTTTTAGTATCCTAAAATTTTCAAAATTTTCCAACGCTTCCATTTTTCCCTAAACTAAGGGATTCTATACCTTGGTAAACTTTTTCTATTAAAATACTACACTTTACATTTCTCCTTACATCACATCAACTACTACTTCTCTAGTTCTTTGTGTTTTGCTACTTATCACATCACCTACCCATTAAACATCTTTTTTTATTTTCCTCTCTTTACTTTACCTACTTTTCTTAATACGTGTGTCTAGAGCAACAATGAATTTTATATTTGAATGGAGGAAGGAATACCTTGACCCAGTCATTGTCATAGGTGAAATCCATATAAAATGGGACAACGGGAGTTGTTAAACTAATAAAGCAGGATACTCTCGATGCTTTGCTGGGAACTATTGAGCTTGGCCAGCTTATCCACTAAGATCTGAGAATTAAAAGCACTGCCCATGGCTTCCAAAGAAAATGTGTCCAACCTTCCACAATACAGGTCCTTGAACAAATGCACCCTCTGAAAAGAGAAATGAAGAAACACGATCTCATTATCAGAGTCTTGGAAGTTAAACAAATGTAACATAGAGTTTTGAATGCATCACAAAACACCAAAAAAAACATAATATGAAAAAAAACATCAATTTGCAAAACTACACACTGCTCTTCCTACCATTGAAAGAATATGAGTAACACGCATACAGTATTCCGCAATATGATGTGCTAGTCAATGTTTTTAAATGCGGGAAAAAAAAACTCTAGTGACATGCTCAAATAAATGTGTTAGGATCCAACGTATCCCCAATCACAAATTGAGTATTGTGGCTTTTCAATAAGTTTCCATGTTTATTAGTCTTATGTAATGTAGTTGTTTCTGGCATCTTGAAAAAAGAAAATTACCATATAGGTAATAGGCATGTGTTAAATTAAACTCGCTTTCAAGTAATTTAACTGGTTTGGATCACATCCCCACTCCAGATCCACAGACCAAATGTAACAAACATGGCATCTAGAACAGATGTTTATAAAGTAAGAGCCTGTGAGATCTAACTATTAAAGTGGAAAAGTATTGCTAAAATAAGGAAATAAATCACGCCAGAATAACTAATTCCCACAATGAAATATTTACAAGGTAATTGTAACGTAATTCATTGGGATGAAAAGAATAAGAATTTGCGCTCTGACTAACCCCAAATCCACAATTTATCCCTGCAATGCATATCCGTTAAAGGCTCAAAAACTAGCCTGGAATGAAGGACTTTTTAGCTTATGCCGTTACTAGCCAAACTGTGTTTAGCATCTAGAGAAACAAAGAGATACTCAGGCTACCCAATAAACCCGTGAATTGGCCGTAACTGAAACCAATTGCAGAAAGATCATGGCTTTTAAGAGTTAATACAGTACAAATACCCGTATAACCCTAAATTAGCAACGAAGGGTGAAACCCTAGGGCGGGGGATAAAAAACAGGCACGTCAAATTAGGAAGAGAAAATCAGACGACGAACCAGGCTATGGCGAATTGTGGTGTCGTCAGCTCATCGGCAAATGAGAATTCGACTGGTTTCGCCGGGGAATTGAGAGCACGACGGCGGGGGTACCCTACGCTGTGATTTTGGGATTGAAATTGGGTAGAGTTGACAAAAGTATTTGACGACTATTTGAAAGCTATGAGAGTGGGACACGTGGCTGAGAAATCAGAGCCTTTAGACAAACAGTACGAGATTGGTGAACTTTTTTTCCCAAATCTTTGATCTCACACCCTCTCCTCCCAAAATAGTATCTATTCTCGCACAAAATATAAATGTTAATTTTGGAATAACGTAATACTCCCTTCGTTCTACTATATTCGTCCAGTTTTGACTTTTGGAACTGTTCATCTAAGCACTTTGACTCATCAAATTCTCTCAATGTGTAAGCCTAAATATAGTCATGTGTGATCTTATTTGATTTGTCTTAACATATAGATTATTAATATATAATTTCTATAATTTTTTAATATACAAATTACAAGATAAAATGGATTAAAGAAGTGTATTGGATGGTGTGCAAAAATGAAAGTGGACAAATACTCTGGGACGGAGGTAGTACTTATTTTAAAAAATTTAGTGCTCATTTCACAAATTTATTCAATATAATTATAAGAATAAGTGTTAATTTTAGAATAACGTAATACTTATTCTAAAAAATGTAGTGCCCATTTCACAGATTTATTCAATATAATTATAAGAATTATTTATGAATAAGTAGTGTTTATTCTGAATCAAAATGGTGCTCATTCTCAAAAAATTTAGTGATCATGCCTTTCGAGCCACAGATATGTAGTTCTACAATTCCATGCACCTAGAGTTTCCACACATGTATGCGAGTCTACGACTTCCCCCATATGTTAAGCACCTTCGTATTTGAATGCAATGGGTCCATAGATGACCCGACTCGGCAATTAGAAGAGCATCGGCAACGAACTAGCAAAAAACTATTACAATCAGCGCCTGGTGGCGAGGTTGCACCAGTTCTTCTAGCGGCATCAATTCCTGTTCCATCTCCTCTGCAATTTCCGTTCCTCAATACCTGAGAAAGGAGAAATCAAAATATCCTCGCAAAGCTCAAACAGAGAGGTATTGCGCATACATATCTGACATGCAAAAATGCACTATAAAACTAGCACTAGAAAATATAGAAATTTACTTAAATAACACAAAAACATAATGACTTTCCTTAAATAGCACCACATGTATTTTTCTTCCAAATGTAGCACTTTTAGTCATTATGCATTAGTCATTATTCAAATAAATATTCGCCATCACTGAACATTATGAACATTATTAAATGCTATTTAGGGAATAAAACGGTTTAAGTGCTATTTAGATAAATGACTTAAGTTTTAGTGCTATTTACTGCAAATATTTCCTAGAAAATAACTTTGGTTCAGTACTAGGAAACTCACTCTTTAGAATTCATGAGGACGTTCACTAAGGCCCCGTTCCGTTCAACTTATTTTTTCTTATTCTTATTAAAATCAGATCTGATCGGACCAGATCAGATCAGATCGAATCAGATCAGACCAGATCAGATCGAATCAGATCAGATCCAATCAGATCAGATCAGATCCAATCAGATCAGATCAGATCCAATCAGATCAGATCAGATCCAATCAGATCAGATCAGATCAGGACTTATTAAAATAAGATCTCATCAAGAATTATTATTATTATTATTATTATTATGATCATCATCATCATCATCGTCATCATCATCATCATTATTATTATTATTATTATTATTGTTCTTAAAAATGAAAAAGAATAAACTTTAGAAATAGGTTAAATAAAAAGCTGAGAAAGTAATCCTTAATTATTAGACGTCGAAAAAATTAGTTTTAAAATACATTGACATTGTCAATCTAATTCTACTTTTAAAATATATTTTTATTGTTACTTGTAATTTGAATTTCTAAACTTTTGATCTTTTATAAGGATGAGATATTTTAATAAAAATACTATCTCTTCTATATATTGATTATCTAAATTTAATTAATTTTAAATGTATATCTAAATTAAATATTTATTCTAATGTATAATTCTAATTTTACAAAAAAAATAATCATAAAATAAAAAATATTATTACATTATAATATGAATGATTATTCTAATATATGAATTAACTATTTTTATTTTATTAAAAAATAATCATTAAATAAAAAATACTGATTATATTATAATATGAATTATCATTACAATTTTCAAACGTTATTATAAAGTCAAATTAAATTATTGATTTGAAATTTTAAATTAAATCATAATTAATCAGATCAGACCAGATCAGATCAGATCAGATCCAATCAGATCAGATCAGATCCTATCAGATCAGATCAAATCCAATCAGATCAGATCAGATCCAATCAGATCAGATCCAATTAGATCAGATCAGATCCAATCAGATCAAATCAGATCAGATCCAATCAGATCAAATCAGATCCAATCAGATCATATCAGATCAGATCAGAACTTATTAGAATCAGATCAGATCAGAAAAAATAAGTTGAACGGAACGGAGCCTAAATTGGAGTCCGACTAGAGATTGACTATTTGTAACTCATTAGATTAGGAAAAATTTGAATATATATTATATTCTAATAGAGTCCATAATATTAAAAAAACTAGGAGTAGAAAATGTGAGTACCTTTGACAAATTTTAATCACTAGAAAATGAACAAATTGAAAAAAATTGAGTTTCTCTTTGAATAAAGTGGTACATACAACGTAACTAAGCTACGAGTACTGTAGTATGCAGTGTAACGTATTATTTCTTCTTCCCTGCTGCGGCACTCCCATCGAAGAGCTCATCAATATACTTCTCGAGGTCTTCGCCCTGATACTTGACATACTTCTCCGTCTGCCTCCCCGGCGTGAAGGTCTGGCTAAACCTCGCCAGGAACGACCTGTACGCCGGGACCACCATGTTGCAGATGGAGACCCGGAGCTCCGACTGCAGCTGCTCGTCGCTGATCACCCAGCTGCTCTGCGCCTTGACTATGTCGTCGAACACCGAGTTGAAGCTCTTGAACCGCTCCTTCAACACCGGCTTGTTCACCTTCCCGTTGCTCCCCGTCGTCAGCCCCTCCGTCGCCAGGCACTGCAGCAGCCTCCCCCACGTCTCCCTCTGGTAGTTCTTGTGGTACTGCTGCAGCTCCGCCGAGTTCCTCCGCACCCACGCGCTCGTTAGCACCGCGCTCATCCCCTCCGATCCCCGGACCTTCTGCATCACGTACCGCCCGTTGTTCATCATGAAGATCAAGCTCAGCGACGGGTCCTTGTAGTGCTTCGACTTCGCCTCCAGGTTCGCGTTCAGCAGCTCCATCACCCTCGCGATCTGTTGCCCGAAAGGGGACAGGGGCTCTGCCGCCCCTGTCTCCTCCGGGGGCGTCGCCGCAGTCTGGACGATGCGCTGGTGCTCCAGGAACACCTGCTCCAGCGTGTCCCTGTAGCAGCACGCGCGCTCGACGGCGTTGACGATGGTGCGCGTTACCGGGTGAACCCCTCTCCCGGGGACGGGATTCTTCGTGGGGTCGGAGCTTATCGTGCTTTCGAGCTCCTGAATGATCCCGATTGCCATCTCCGCGAGCCGGCAACAGGTCAGCATGGCTTCGGCCTTGAGGTGCTCCATGAACTCGGGCCGAAGCAGAGCCGACATTGTCGGGAGGAGGTCCCGGAGCGCCTCGTACATGTCAAGGAACTTGTAGAGCTTGTCCGGCGTGCTCGTTGTGACGGCGGCGACGGCGTTGGAGAAATCGAGGAGATGTGCGAGCGTGAAGCGGGACAGATCGTTTACGATGCTATCCGACATGGACGGGTAGTCCTCGAAAATGGCGGCGGAGAGCTTCTTCTCCGCCGTGAGGAGCTCCGCGGAGCAGTACTTGAAAGTCCTCAACCACGCCACGATCTCCCTCTCGAGACAATCCCATCCCATCTTCTGCACCTCCTCCGCGCTCCGCCTCTCGAACCCCAGCCGGTGGAGGCTCTCCTCCACCGCAGCCTGGCGAGAGGCAAAGTACGCGTGCCAGCACTCGGCCTCGTACGCCCCGAACTTCATCGCCTTAGCCAACTTCTTCAAGTTCAACAGCACGCACTCCTCGTTGTTCTCCGAAACAATCTCCCCGTTACTCCCGGTCTCATGTTCGTCGCCCTCGCGACAAACCTGGAGGGATTTGTAATCCTCGAGGCAGGATTTGAATTCCTCCTCGAGGTGGGCCATGGCGCGCTGGAGGACGCCTCCAACGCGGCTGATGGAGAAGGCGTACTTGTACTCGGAGGAGAAATGGGAGAGCGATTTGGAGAGCTTGGAGAGGCGCTCCGCGGACTGGAGGAAGGACGCGGCGGCGGCCTCGTCGTCCCTCATCAGGCTCCATTTCCCGGAGCGGCGGTCGTAGTCGTCGACGGTCTCCTCGAGGAGAACGGCGAACTGCTCGACGCAGATCGGGACGTCGGGGGGCTTCGAGTCCACGACGTCCCGGGAGCTCCAGAGATTGAAGATGTATTGGTCGATGTCTTGGGATATCTTGAGGAGATCGGGGGGCAATGTGTTGTATTCTTCTTGATTGTTGATGCTGTTATAATCATCATCGGTTGTTGTTTGGCTCTTGTGTTCTTGTTGTTGTTGTTGTTCTTCGTCAAGGTTATTATTATTATTGTCGTTGTCGCATTCTTTCTCGGTGTCCGCCATGGCGGCGACGTCGAGCTTTTTATATGATTATTGAATTGATTCCGATGATCAAATTAATCAATCTGATTAAATTTGCATGGAACAAATGTAGAAGAAAGTGGGGATTTGCATCATTATGTCTTTTTGGGGAATATCATTAGCTCAATTTTTTTTTTACTTTTTACTTTTACTTTTTTTTGGTTTTGTTATAGTTTTGGTTTTCTGGTTAAATTCAGAAGAGAAGAGTGAGGGAAATGGGATGGGCAAGAGAATAGTGCGAGCTTTTGACCATTTTTTGTGGAAGTGCTGCACCATAAATTTCGCCTATAAAGAATATACCCCCTCCATTGCATGATCTTTTCCTTTTTTTTCTTTAATTGAGTCAATTTAATTATATTCCTTTTAAAAAGTGTGTAAAATTAAACCAAAACATTACTCTTAGAAATTATTTAGAGAATATAAAATTGTTGTGAATCCTTTAATTTATTTTATCATTTTTAATTTTCTATTCTATAGATCATATTTTATCTTATTATTATAAAGTAAGAGAAAAATAAATAATTAATACTCTCTTTGTCCAACAAAATTTTTCTCATTTTCTTTTTCATTTGCCCCAAAAATAATTTCTCATTTATATTAAAAAGTCACTTTTACTCCAATTCTTAACCTAATTAGCAATTCACACTTTTTCACTCTTAATCTTTCTATCACATTTTACTTTTAATCGTCACATCTAAATGTATTTTTTGAAAGTCAAGAGTACACCAAAATATATTCCCTTTAAATACTTTAAACCTCAAAACAAGAAAGATATTGTAGAACAGAGAGAGTATCAAAATTACACTTTTTTAAAACTCGTCTTTTTTCAATTAGGAAATATTTTGTATGATGGAGAGAGTATATATAATTATTTTATTGAAGAGATAAAAAAAATAAAAAGTAAAACCTTCTGAAGCATAGAAAAAGTAATATCAAACATAGTCTTTATTAATGAAATATATCATACAAAGATAATGAAATGCAATATTTAGAAATCGTTATTTTAAACATTACACACAATTTCAATCCACACGTTTATTTGTCCAAATATAATTGTGCACGACATTAGAAGTGAATACAATTATCAATTGTGTCATTATAAAACAATCCAAAATATTTTATAGTATCACCACTTAACTTTCTATGGTTCTGCAGGGATGCAACCTACCTCCCACCTTAGAGGAGCAAAAAGAATTGGACTTAATAAATATATTATATGATTACTCAATTTCATTAGTATGTGACCTTTTTAGAGATGCTTAAACATAAATTGTGATGATATAACTCAGAACGGACAATATCATACTAGAGGAATTTCCGTAAATAGCACTAAAACATTATGACTTTCCCTAAATAGCACTACATGTGTTTTTTCCCCAATGTAGCATTTTTAGTCATTATCCATTAGTCATTATGCAAGTAAATGTTTGTCATCACAAGTCATTATGGACACTATTAAGTGCTATTTAGAGAATAAAAAAATTTAAATGCTATTTAGAGAAATGACTTAAGTTTAAGTGCTATTTAGTGCAAATATTTCATTAAAAAATGCATTCCCTCCGTCTCGTAGTACTTGTTTAATTTTGACTTTTTATAGTTAACCAAAAGCAGACTTTGACATCTAATTATTCAAAAATTATATGATATATTAATTGAATAAAATAATATCTTGAAAATTTTATTCAACGCAATTAATCAGGGAAAATAATTTTCAAATATATAAATTCACCACATCTCTAACTCCAATACATCCACATTTATCTCACTAAATTCATTCTCATCTCAACCTCATTTCTCTCTCATTTCACTATTCAAACATGAATTCCGACGGTAAGAACTCCCCCTTCGAGCAATCCGACCTTAATGTTGTTATCATATTTACAAACTCTGCATTTTTTCAAACCAATAGCCCCTGCAAATACAGCCGTCATTGATATTTTTTATGAGTTGGAGCCCACCATTGAGGGCATTAGCAAAAGGAAAACTAAAAAGAATGAATGACCGAAGAAGTACACCCTGATGGAAAAAGTCTGGGCCAAGGTATGGTCAAACATGATGGGAGAGATGCTTCAGAAACACAAGAGGCATGTGCTCTCGGAAGATTAAAAGTTTGGTGGCTTGTCTGACAACGTCTCGAAGACGTTGCCTGGTGGGTCCACCGATGACGACATTCTCTCGAAGGTGTCGGACCTTTATTATCAAGCGAAAAAGAAGGCTTTCAAGTTCAAGGAGATCTAGAAATGTATGTAGAAGAGCCCCAAATTCAGCGCCGGGGTGGATGCTGGAGGGTCAAGACCGAATCAATCCAAACTCTCCGAGAGTTCTTCATAGGTTTAATGTTGTATTCGCCTTATACTTACAATCCTTTTTTATAATTATTCATCTATTTTTATTAAAAAATAAATATTCTCATTAAATTTATTTAAATTTGCAATTAAAAATGATAAGCAATGTAAAAGAAGTAAAGAGACATGACGAGATGACGACAACATTGCAGATATTTTGGGGCGATGTTGAAAAAGGAGGAATGCACATGTGGTGCACAATGAGTCCGAGTTTAAATGGTCTAAAGTCTAGGAACTTGTTTGGGAATGACTTTAAAGATTAACATTAGCGTTTTAAATAAAATTTTAATGGTATAGATTATTTTAAAAACGCGAACGCTAAATATTGTCCGTCGATAGTTCCTAAATAGATTTGCTAATTTTAATTATGTAGGTTTGTGGGGTCAAAATTAGCATGTCTCTCTAACCAAGGGATGGGTGGGTAATTTTTTTTATATTTTATTTTATTTCTGAAAAAGGGAAAAACACTCTCACTTTATCCATGTGAACCGGCGACGGGGAGAAAATAAGAAATGGACATGTCAATGTCTTGGAAGGACAAACGCTGACCAGTCGAGATGGGCCCACGCCCTCCAATAGTAAACTGCCACATCAGTTTGACCAACCTGTAAAGTTTCAACCCCCACGCCGAATCTCAATAAAGGAAAGGAAAAAATAAAAACTCAAAAAGAAAACGCCACACACAAAACACTCACAATTCAACCCGGCCCTCTCCCTCTCCTCCAAACGCACCCTCCGCCCCGTTGTGCCCTCTTGTAGTCGCACTCCAAGGCTTCCCGTCGACGGGAGTTCGCCGGAATCTTCTCTGGCGGCGATATTATCGCCGGAAAGTTCTTTACGGATTCCGCACACTCAGTTTGTCGCCGACTATGTTATCGTCCGTGGAGAATCTGTAATTGCATTTGCACTTGAAGTTCCTCCGCTGGAGATCTGGAGGAAGAGTGAGGAACTGAGAGATGTACGTAGTTCCACCTCCAAAAGGGGCCGATCCACTCTCTGGATCCACCAATGGGTCGGACGATTGGCGGATTTACCAAACTTGGAAGGGAAGCAATGTCAGTTTTCTCTCTAACCACTGCTTTTTCTTCATCATTTTCTTCGCATTTGCTGACTTTTTACTGAAATATGCTTGCTTCTTATGTTAGTTGTTGGATTGGAATTTTTAGCTACTGCAGAGAACTGAATTGTGCTTTACTAATACTTCTCTTCTAATTAAAAGTAATCCCCGGATGCAAAGTGAAAACAAAGATTAAAGCTTCAACGGTTTTAGAGATAGAAAGAAACATTCAGCTATTTGATCAATTGATGTTATCATGATGTTGTTTGTGTACATCCAGTCGCTATTCAAGTTCACCTGATCGTTTTTTGAAAGCTATTGACTCTATTACAAGTTAGTATGTGTTCATACTATTCTCAACCTAATGACACACAAAGAGCCAATACTTCCACTTTAACCGGGTGAACTTCCCCATGAATCCTAAGGACTAGACTTCTTACTACTCAAGCCAGGGACGAAGTTCACCTAATCGTTTTTTTTTTGTTGGTCAACTATCAAATATTTCAGTCCACATCCTAAACTACTTTTTGAAAGTCTGTTTGGTTTTCTTTCTACAGTCTGTTTATTCCATTGGAGTTGTTTCTTTTGTTATAGCTATTGGTTGTTATTGTCACGGTATGGCATCCACTTAACTGCATTTCTGTTAATGTTTTATGAACTTGCTTTTGTTTTTTGCAGAGATTTTTTCTTCAAGGAAGGTTTATATTTGGACCGGATGCAAGATCGCTAGTGCTGACCATTTTCCTTATAGTAGCTCCTGTTGCAGTTTTCTGTGTCTTTGTTGGTAGAAAGCTGTCAGATGATTTTCCAGATGACTGGGGAATCTCAATTATGGTTGTTGCAGTGGTGTTCACTTTTTATGTAAGCCCTTTAGTCCACCGTACATTTGTTTTTCATCCACTACCTAAGACTGGATAAGTACCCCTATGCTGGCATTCCAAGCTAGTGGTCAATTAAATCCAAACGAAGGGAGTGATAGTTAATGTCCGTTTGTGCACTGCACTTATCTGCATCAGTCCATTTCGTTTAAATGACTTTTTTTGTACTGGCCATCTAGGCAGGATTATTCTAAATTCTTCTCACAGTTCAACTCTATCTTACCAACTAAGTAGGAACAGTATACAAGGTAGAAGGAATATTTTCCCCGCAGATTACTTGTGTTATGCAAAGCTCTGATGCCTTATATTCTTGTTACTGTATAGGACTAGTAGGTAATATTCTTCTCAAGTATTCCCCTTTAACTTCACAGCCATATGGGAAATCAGGTAATGGGACCATACAGTGCATTGAGACAAAATTATACATTTAAGTAAATTGCTTCAATATGATCTATACATCTTTGGTTTTTGAGAACCTTGATAGTCCTTAAGACAGCTCATTTGGATAGACATCCACGCTTCAAGATTCTTGAAATTGAAGGAACTAGTTGAAGAGTTTGCTTTCAAACTAGATTCTCTAACCAGTGTTTAACTTGTGCATTTTAAGTTTTTAACTAAACTCCCCAACACCCCAAAACTCCCCCTCTGATGTTGTCCACTTCACAAATCACAACATTCATGGCTGATTGATTTTGGGTCAAAATGAGAATTCTTTGTTTTACTGGCCTTGGGGTTCATCTTGCATAATTTCTACTACGGTGGTGTATTGCCATGTACCATTGATGATTTGTCTAATATAACTATCTTGTCGAAGAATTTGACTGTAGGGTGCCACTAACCCTATACTAATAACAGAAAAAAATCCATGTGGTTTTCTTAGGAATCTTAGGAAACCTACATTCATGTAAAATTAATCTATGATGTTAAAAAAGGCAGTGCTGCTGGCTAAGCGTTCAGTTTCAGACTCCTTTTGGTCCTTACTAGAAACCGCCTTTTTAAAAGGGGATAAATGGACCTTTATAAGGCATTGTTCTATATACGTATTCTAGAAGGATGGATTACACTTCTTTTGTAGTGACTAATATCCAAATGTTTGGCAGGTGACTAGTGTTTTTTGTTTTCTATCCAACCAAAACATATGTATACATATTTTATGTTTTTATGTACATTGTATAACGAATGTTGACATTTAACTCACTCAGGTTTTGGTTCTTCTCCTTCTAACTTCCGGAAGAGATCCAGGAATTGTTCCTCGAAACGCACACCCGCCAGAACCAAAAGATTTTGATGGAAATGCTGCCGAAGGCGGTGGACAAACCCCACAGTTACGTCTACCACGTATCAAAGAAGTTGAGGTTAATGGTGCTACCGTGAAGGTTAAATATTGTGATACCTGTATGCTCTACCGACCTCCACGATGTTCTCATTGTTCAATATGCAACAACTGCGTTGAAAGATTTGACCACCACTGCCCTTGGGTCGGGCAGTGTATTGGGCTGGTAATGTTTAATTTTCACCACTTACTGTTCATATAGATCCTGTTGTTTAATCCCGTGTTTGGTTGTGGGATTTGACTGGGTTAAGTTGATGTTTAATTTATTGATTTTTATAAAAATAAGTTTATTGACTTATTCTTACATTTAGATTATTCTAGAAAAGTTTAAGACAACAAATTATGTATTAGCACAATTTAACTAAACATATACCTTCTTTGCGGCTTTGCCCCAACTCCCCAAACTAAAAGAGTACTATTTGGGTTTTTCCCCAAAAATTACATTTTACTTATTGGAAACATTTCTTTAAAAAGCCACGTCAAGTATGGATAAATTGGAAAACTAAAAAAAAAAATCCTCCCCCAACAAATAAAATCCTAGAACCAAACAAGCCCCAACCTTTTGTGCCTCAAGTAGAAAGAATCGAAGTCATTTCCCCATGGAATTTTCATTATGTAAAATTGACATTGTTTTATTTGCTGTTGCAGAGAAACTACCGGTTCTTTTTCATGTTTGTCTTCTCTACCACACTTCTGTGTATATATGTGTTTGGTTTCTGTTGGGTCTACATTAGAAGGATAATGGGTGCGGAAGAAACCACGATCTGGAAGGCAATGATCAAGACTCCAGCTTCTATTGTCCTAATTGCTTACACCTTTATTGCAGTGTGGTTTGTCGGTGGTCTTACTGCCTTTCATTTATACCTCATAAGCACAAATCAGGTAAAAAAAAAATCATTCCTTCAAACCTCAAGAAATAGTAATGGATTGTTATGATTCATATTATATATGCATGGAGATATAAGCTTAGAGTAGTTGAGTAAAGCTTTGGGATTTTAGTCTGTTGTTTGTGCATGTGTCTTCTGTGGTTTGGGTCTTGTTACAAAGCAAAAATAGTAGAGTCAAATGCAATAACATTGCAAATACAAGCCAAAATCAAATGTGATCAGAACTATTTTCGATTTTGCATGTAGTTAGATTGTCAGTCTTATCCTAAATATGAGTTCAAATTCATTTCTTTGTTCTATATACTAAGCTTGTGCCATTTTTACGAATCACAACTTTTCTCTCAATCGTTTTCCCGTCATTTTTCTGGTTTCTATTTTACAAAAAAAGGTGAAAATAAAATATAAAACAAAACGAATACCAACAAGTTGCCATTTCAGTCATAATTAAAATTTATGGAGTATATATTAAGCATGAACCTAAAACTTAAGCTTTCCCTCTAATTGGCCATTGGCGCTTCCCAAAGAGTCCCTTAGACTTTAGTGTTTCTATTTATTTTAAAACAGTGAAAATGAAACAGAAAACATAACCATTACTAAATGACATCTAATTTTTCACACTTAGAACTCAATAGTCATTTTGTTTTTGTCAACACTATGCAGACAACATATGAGAATTTCAGATACCGGTATGACCGGCGAGTCAACCCATACAACAAAGGAGTGGTACAGAACTTCATAGAGATATTCTTTGCCTCTATCCCTCCTTCGAAGAATGACTTCAGGGCAAAGGTTCAGAGGGAGCCCGCAATACCCGCCCGGCATGCGCCCGGCGCGGGATTCGTTAGCCCGAACATGGGCAAGGCCGTGGATGACATAGAAATGGGGAGGAAAGCAGTGTGGGGTGGCAGCGGCGACATTGGGGCCCACGAAGGTGGAGGCGAAGACAACAACGATGTGCTGAACATGAAGGAGATAAGAACAACCGTTGACGAAGGGGATCGGGCGGCAGCAATGCATCCGCGGCGGTCCAGCTGGGGGAGGAAAAGTGGGAGCTGGGAAATGTCACCTGAAGTTCTGGCTTTGGCATCCAGAGGAACCGGAGAACCGAACCGGGTGCGGGGCCCCGGCATCGGAAGCAGCAGTGGCGGCTTGAGTGCGGCGAAACTGTGATCGACCCTTGGGTGGGGCCCACTCGTGCCGAAGGATTATCTCTCTCTCTGCCCATTGGATCTTCTATTTAGCGATGTTTTGATCTGGCTGTTGGTTATTGTTGTTGTGGCAACTGGCAAGTGCTTGCTTGATCCTTTGTTTGTTCTCTGTATTTTATTTTGTGTCAAAGTAGTTTCTTTCTTTCTGCCTTGTTCTCTTCCCCCACCCACGGTTAGTTGTATGCACTTTAGACTTGGAGTGATGGATTTGCTTGCTTCTCAAATATTGGTGTCTCAAATTATTTGTGATGATTTATGAAATGACAGTAACTTATGTCATTGTTCAGTTTGATTTTTTTAAGTTAAATAAGATAAACTTTAATAAAAAATAATTTAGGTGGATTTATCTTGATAAGAGCATCGATAATGGCAAGTAAAGAAATGGAATGTCATACATTGACGTGATACTATATCCGTCCCAGAGTATTTGTCCACTTTCATTTTTACACACCATCCAATACACTTCTTTAATCCATTTTATCTTGTAATTTGTATATTAAAAAATTATAGAAATTATATAATAATAATCTATATATTAAGACAAATCAAACAAGATCACACATGACTATATTTAGGCTTGAGAGAATTTGATGAGTCAAAGTGCTTAGATGAACAGTTTCAAAAGTCAAAACTGGACGAATACTCCGGGACGGAGGGAGTATAATTTAACCAATAAAAGACAACTCAGTCAGTGTGTGGCAAACGAAAAGAATGGCATGTCATGCATGCAAGTCAATTTTTTTATCATTCTATATTTTTTTGATACCCCGTATATTTTACTAATTATTAAAAATTATTTTAATCTTTTTTTTAAAAAATAGATGTACTATTTTTAAAAAAATTTCTTGCTTATATTCAAAAAAAATTTAAAAAATGAAGAGGTGCCTCGTGCATGGCTTGGTAGGCAGGGTGCCTCACCACACCGAAGGAGAATGTATCCCGAGACGGTAGGCGTGGCGGTGAGAATTACACGCTGTTGCCCATGTTCTAACAATACTTCTCAATCTCTGAGAAGTATTTTCTTTTTTAAATTGAGAAGTTTTTTTATTTTAGAGCAAGGCATCATGAATGATTAAAATAAACCGAAATGAAGATGGAGAACGAAGTCCTATACAAATTGTGAACATTACAAGTATAATCAAACTCAAATAAAAATAGTCTTTTTTCCCGATAAATTAACTAGGATAGGAGAGGTATAAAATAATGAAATGGGCCCAATTTGGGGGGTGGTTATCTAAATCCGTAATTGTCTGTATGATTTGGATATGTGTCCATCCATCCATTGCGTGGATCCCCGTCAAGTTTCTGTCCAAAATTTTACTCCGCATTAAATTTTCAAATAAAAAACAAAAGTTGACTGCCGCTTTAACGGAGAGAAGCTGAACGGCGAATATTCCCCGCATATATAAGAAGCAGGAGAGGAATATCCATGGCGGATTCGGGCATCTCACGGAATTTCCGCTTCGCATATTCCGTCTTCTTCTTCTTCTTCCCTTTAAATAGGGCAATCCGCCTTCTTCTCTCCTCCGTCCTGAGCCTTCTCTCTGTCGCCATTCCCGTGAATTAACCCCCACGCATTCCGATGGCTCTCAAGGCCGTTCACGTCGCCGACATTCCTAATATCGGCCAGGTCCCGGAGAACGCCTCCCCGGCTCTCTGCCCCAACCGCTTCCCTCCTCAAGGTGAGTACCTCTTCGATCCCCTTCTTCGGATTCGTCGTTTTCAGCGGCGATTGATGGATGTAGGGTTTGATTGAATTTGCAGGGGTGGAAATCGGGAGAGCCTCCGCCGGCGCCGCGTTCCGGCCGCCTAAATTTGTGGTTATCGGGCACAGAGGGAGCGGGATGAACGTGCTGCAGTCGTCGGATCGGAGAATGAAGGATTTGAAGGAGAACTCCCTTCGCTCTTTCAATGCCGCCGCCGATTACTTCGCCGATTTCATTGAATTCGACGTCCAGGTTTCATATCTTCAACTTCTCCTCTTCCAATTCTCTGAAAAAAAAGCACCAGATAATGTGCGATTTGGCGTCGAAATTTTGAATTAATCGGATGAATTTGTGGATTTTTTGTTTGTAGGTTACCAAAGACGACTGTCCGGTCATCTTCCACGACGATTTCATTCTATCCCAAGAGAATGTAAGCTGAACTCCCCTCTAAGGCTCTAATCGTTCAATAATTTTTTTTAATTACATTACTGTCTGTAAGCACTTCTGTTCAAATTCAATCAAATTAATTTTGGGATAAGGATTTACATATATTCTTAGTTGAATCTTATGTCCTCCTGCTAAAGATTTGGGGACTTGTAACTTACTAAAGAATTTCTATGAATTGGGATCATCGTTCAGGATACAATCTTAGAGAAGAGGGTCACGGAATTGAGCTTAGCAGAATTCCTGAGCTACGGGCCACAAAGGGAGATCACCGGCGGCGGTGGAGGCGGAGGAGCAGCCGGCAAACCTCTGGTCAGAAGAATGAAAGACGGGAAGATCTTGAGATGGTCCGTGGAGGCAGACGACCCACTGTGCACCCTCCAAGAAGCCCTGGAAAAGGTGAACCCAAACCTAGGGTTCAACATCGAGCTGAAATTCGACGACCACGTGTCCTACCCACAAGACCACCTCCGGCGAGTCCTCGGCACGGTCCTCCGCGTCGTGTTCGAGCACGCCAACGGCCGCCCGATCCTCTTCTCCACCTTCCAGCCGGACGCGGCGGTGATGGCGAAGAAGCTCCAGAGCACCTACCCGGTGTTCTTCCTCACCAACGGCGGCTCCGAGTCCTACCCGGACCCGCGGCGGAACTCGCTGGATGAGGCGGTGAAGCTGTGCACGGAGGGAGGCCTGGAAGGGATAGTCTCGGAGGTGAAGGGGGTGTTCAAGAACCCGGCGGCGGTGAACAAGATCAAGGGTTCCAATCTCACCCTCTTCACCTACGGCCAGCTGAACAATGTGGTGGAGGCGGTGTACATGCAGCACATAATGGGCATCGACGGCGTGATTGTGGACCTTGTCGGAGAAATATCGGCGGCGGTGGCGGACATGTTGAAACCATCGGAGGAGGAAGTCAGGGACGGAGATGGGGAGGAGATGAAGACTGACGAGAAGCCCAAATTCTCGCCCAAGGAGTTGTCTTTCTTGTTCAAGCTTATTCCACAGCTCATACAGCATTAATGGGATTTGTGTCTCTGTGTAAATAGGGAATTTGTATGTAAAGTAGCTTCCTTTCTCCGTCATTGTTGTCATGGTTAGTCTTTTTCATGACGACGGTTCATTGGGTGTGTGATTTAGTCCACGTTTATTGATATGCCACGAATTTTACTCATGGGTTGGTGTCCTCTTTCATAATATTGCATATATGTTGAGATTGGCATAAATATGTGCAGGTATCCCAAGCTGAAATATGTCAGGCTAACTCGACTAGTCAATGAGTCGTGAAAGCTTGACTGATTGAAGTAGACGCTGGGGTCTCTAGACAAGAGTTATCTCTCGTTATTTCCCCCATGTCTCACATGATCTTCCATGACCATTGATTAAATGAATAAACATCACAAAATAATTAAATATTTTGATTCAATATATTCGATCATTGTCATTTTAAATCTTTGATTTTCAAATATTTAATGAGTAATTTGTTGGTACTTATAATTCATATTACTCCAGTATAACAAAAAATGTCACATTATATGATAAACTTGTAATTAAAACATATTTTAAAATGAAAACTACATTGTTTCAGATTGAGCACTACGTTATTTCGGAATAAACACTAGACTGAATATACTTGCAATGGACATAACATTGTTTCAAAATAAACATTACATTATTCGTAAATGAATATTATAATTGTAATGAGTAAATTTGTGAAAATAAACATCACGTTATTAATTCAAAATAACATTACGTTATTCACAATGAATATTTACGAAGTACCTAATTTTAGGTACATCTAGATGTATAATATAGACTCTCTCATAATAGAGTAAATTCCATAATTGGTCCTTTATAACATGGGGTTTTCATATTTAGTCCTTTATTATCAAATATTACCCCCGTAGTCCTTTTTTTAAGGGTACCTTTCCACAAATAGTCATTTTTTGATCTTCTGCCGTGTTGGTATTAATTTAAAGGCTAGAAGTATAATTTAACATCAACATTATGTCTAGTGACGTGTTCTGATATTGGTTAAGCGGATAACACAAAAATAATGACTACGATTGTGGGCTAGTATTCTGGCGAAAGATTACATTTGTAGACTATCATTGTCGTAAAAAGCGACTGTAATTCACAAACGACGCAAACGGAACAACCTTTGGAATTGTGTATGACAAAAAAGATATATTATCATTGTGAACTTACACTTTTAGCCCTCAAATTAACACCAACATGATAGAAGATCAAAAAAAGGACTATTTGTGGAAAGGTACCCATAAAAGAAGGACCACTGGGATAATATTTGATAATACAGGACTAAATAGGGAAACCCTCCTGTTATAAAGGACCAATTATAGAATTTGAGATGCCATTTAACCAAGTGAGCCAATAGAAAACTAGAAACTTGGGGGCCGAGCCGGCCAAAGGATGGGCCAACAAATTCTACAGACTTAGGCCCTGTTCCGTTCAACTTATTTTTTCTTATTTTTATTAATATCAGATCAGATCAGATCAGACCAGATCAGATGAGATCGAATCAGATCACATCAGAACAAATCAGATCAGATCAGATCCAATCAGATCAGACCAGACCAGATCAGATCGGATCCCAAAAAGAATTATTATTATTATTATTGTTATTGTTGTTGTTGTTATTATTATTATTCTTAAAAATGAAAAAAGTAAACTTTAGAAACAAGTTAAATAAAAAAGTCAGAAATTAATCTTTAATTATTAGACGCCAAAAAAATTATTTTTAAAATACATTGACAATGTCAATCTAATTCTACTTTTAAAATACATTTTTATTGCTACCTGTAATTTGAGTTTTAAAGTTTTGATCTTTTAATTCTACTTTTAAAATACATTTTTATTGCTACCTGTAATTTGAGTTTTAAAGTTTTGATTTTTTATAAGGATGAGATATTTTAATAAAAATACTATCTCTTCTCTATTTTGATTATATATAAATTAAATATTTATTCTAATGTATATATGAACTAATTATTACAATATTAAATCAATATTCTTATTTCATAAACAATAATCATCAAATAAAAAATATTATTATATTAAAATATGAATGATTATTCTAATATATAAATTAACTAGCTTTATTTTATTAAAAAATAATTATAAAATAAAAAATATTATTTATATTATAGTATAAATTATCATTATAATTTTCAAACGTTATTATA